CGACGTGGCTCACGTGCGCGGCGGCCGGGGCGGCCCGGCCGGCCGACCTGACCTACTTTTTCGACGCGCAAAGTACCAAAAGTACCCTCGCTGGGACGCCCTGCTCGCCCCGCCTCGCCCTGTCCCCAATCCCCCGCCCAGGAGCAGGGCCACACGTGTTTCATGAAAACGTTCAACTTACTGCCGCGCGCCCCGCCCCGCCCCGCCGCGCGCCACGCCAGCTGTCGGGCTCGAGGGGGTCGTACTGGTCGTACGGTAGCGAGCAACTTTTTCTCCGCCGCTGCCGCGCGCTGCCGCCAACAGGCAGAGAGACGGCGCAGCAGCGCCAGGTCTCGCCTGCATTGCATCCGCTCCTGCACTCGCGCCGCGATATTACCATGGCACGTCCCGCCTAACCTCGGCCGGGGACAGGGCCCGGCAGGGCGGGGCGGTGTCGAGATAATGGAGTTGCTGCCGTGGAACAAAAGCGAGAACGCTACGCGTCGCGAGCTATAATGGTCGCGACGCTGATAAGATTACTGGCAGCATGCACTCCGACTTGGCAGCACAGCCCTGGCCACTCCCGCGGCCCTCCACCAACACGCACACACAGACACGCACACACACGCGCGCACGGACGCGCACAAACCCTTTTATTTCGCACTCAGGCTGTGCTGTGGAGCCACTAGGTAGTGCTGCCCCGGCAGACAACTTTTGCATCACGCCCTTTCCCTCGCCTGCCCTGGCACTTCCGCGGCAGACTGATTCCGAGAGTCGTTTTCATCGGTCTTCTCTGTCTCTCTCGCACTCATAGTGGGTTCCGTAAAGTGCGAGAGAGACAGAGCGACGGAAACGGCACTCGGAACCAGTCTGCTGCTCTACTCTTCAAGTCGTGTGCGCGTTGTTCGGTATTAGTTGGCGAGCAGCGGGCGTTCCGCGAGGAGGTAAACACGTCGAGAAATCCGGCGCAGACTTTTCGGTATTCCGCTGTATTAGGGTGGAATTATACGTACGGCACTGAAATGCAAACATTTTGTCACAGTTATTTGACCCCAAAATGGAACATGACGTTTACAAGTATTACGTGTACAGGGTATTTACGCGAGTGTTTACCTCCTCTGCGTCCCGCGAACCCGGTTCCTCCCACGCGAGTGTGGCGGCGGCCACGGGGACACGTCTGCTTGCTCCAAGGGCGCCAAGGGCACTGCTGCAGGCTTAGCCTTCCAGGAATGCCAACTTAGGCCCGGCCGCGCCAAGCCGACATAATCTCCGCGTCCTTTCTTCCCGTTCTGCAGACCCGCCGGCTTGCGCGAGGCTCACGCGGCTCGTCACGCGGTTGTGTCCGGAGTAATGGTGTCTACGTGTCGGCGGTTGGTATGGAAGGCCCGCCACCCGCGGGACGGCGCACAGTGGGCCAGAAGACCGGTGGAGGCTGACAAAATTCTAGACGCGTTTTGAGCTCCAGAGTAGGGATGGCTCCGGTATTTTATTGGTCGGTATTTTTTGGTATTATACGGTTTTAAACCCGGTATTAAACCGAGATTTCGCAATTTCTTGGTATATTACGGTTTTAAACCGGTATGATTCAGTATTTTATTCGGTTTAAAACCGATTTAAAATACCAAAATATATAATACCGGTATTTTACCATCCCTACTCCAGAGTCGCTAAACAGGGCTCGAACCGAGCGTGTGACCCCACCAATGGATTCCTCGTTCGGAGAGCAATCCATTGGTGGGGTCACACGTTCGGTTCGAGTCCCATTTAGCGACTCTGGAGCTCAAAACGCGGCTAGAATTTTGGCCGCCTCCACCGGTCTTCTGGCCCACTGTGCGGCGTATAACCACGCGAAGGAAGGCATGGACTTCCCTCGCCTGTCCCGCATGGTGCGGCGGGGCGCGGCGCGTCCCTTGGGACGGCGTGGCATGGCGCGGTCCCTTTTATGGCCCAATCTGACGTTTCTTTTTTGGCGCCAAAAGGCGTGCGGCGCGTCGGCGCGGCCCTGCCCGTCAGGACGACACATTGACTAGCCGTCGCGCGACTGTCGCGCCGCGCTATTCCCGCAACCCCGTGTTTGCGCTGCGGACGAGCACGGCCGTGAGTGCGCTGAGCTGCCGCACAGTGGGCCAGAAGACCGGCGGAGGCGGCCGAAACGCCAGACGCGTTCTGAGCTCTACCGCTGAACAGGACTCGAACCGAACGTGTGACCCCACGAATGGACTACTCGTTCGGAGAGCAATCCATTGGGTGGGGTCACACGATCGGTTCGAGTCCCACGTAGCGACTCTGGAGCTCCACGTCTAGAGTTTTGGCCGCCTCCGCCGGTCTTCTGGCCCACTGTGCTGCGTAGCGCAGGCGCATAGGAAAGCCCAACAGTCGGCGCGGTTCATTCGATTTTGTTTTCATTTTCGTTGCCTCTGTTTTTGTTTCCCCCTCTCGGCCGACTTTGCCCTCCGCTTTGTACCTGCCCGGGCTCGGCCACGGCCGTGGGGCCTCGGTCCGCGTCGGCCCGCCTCGGCCACCCTCGGCACTCCCACGTCGAGCCTCCCGCTGTTGCCGGCACTCCCAGATCTAATCGAGAGAAGTGCGCGCTGGGCCGGGCCCGGCTCGGCCCGGCTCGGCTCTCTGGGCGGGCCGCCGTGCTGCTGCGAGGGATACTGTTGCAGTGCCGCGGCTTGCGGATTCGGTGTCCTTTGTTTACGCGCGAGACACCTGCTGTCCAATGAGAGTGGATTTCATTTTGTCCCCGGCTCCGCCACCGCGCTCCACGCCGCCGCCGCCCCCGCGCCGCCTCCGCGCCGCCACGCACCGGAGCGGAGAGATTTGCTCAACTTTTCACTCTCGTTGTGCCTGGAGCGGCCGGGGGAGCGGCCGGGGGATTACGCTGGAAGGGCCAAGCGGTTTGCGGAGCGCGGCAGTGGCGGCCCAGTGCCCGGGGCCCAGGGCCCAGGCAAGAGGCTTGCTCGGAGACCTGCGCTCCGGGGCTCTGGAGACCGGCCCGGCCGCACTCCTTGGCGCTCAGCCGGGACAAGCCTCGGGGCAAGCATGGCGGCGGGGAGGTCGTCGTCGTCCCGGTCGTCCGGCAGGCACAGTGGGCCAGAAGACCGGCGGAGGCGGTCAAAATCCCGGACGCGTTTTGAGCTCCAGGGTCGCAGAAGAGAACTCGAACCGAACGTGTGACCCCACCAATGGATTCCTCGTTCGAAGAGCAACCCTTTGATGGGATCACGTTCGGTTTGAGTCCTACTCAGCGACTCTGGAGCTCAAAACGCGTCCGATGGTTCGACCGCCTCCACCGGTGTTCTGGCCCACTGTGCCAGGGCAGCCAATGCTGGCGGCGTCACAACGCGGCGCAACACCGCGTCCAACCCCTGGCTGGGCCTGGCCGCAGGGCCCCAGGCTTGGCCCCAGGCGCCGCGGGGGCCGGGAGCCTGGGCGGCCTGGCGTCGGCGGGCCAGTCTGGGGCGCCGGGCTGGCGGCTGGCGGGCTGACGGCGCGGTGCAGGCAGGCGGGAAGGGGGCCGGTCAATACCATAGTCTTACACTTGAGCGGGGCCGCGCCGGCCTAGGGCCAACTCGGGCCAACAGTCAGCCAAACAGTCAGCAGTCAGCCAAGCAGTCGGCCGAACAGTCAGCCGAACAGTCAGCTAAATGGTCAGCGAAACAGCTAGCCGAACAGCCAGCCGAACTGCTAGCCGAACAGCCAGCCGAACTGCTAGCCGAACAGCCAGCCGAACAGTCAGCCGAATCGGAACAGTCATCGAAAAAATTAGCCGAACAGTCAGCCGAACAGCAAGCCTGACAGTCAGCCGAACAGCTAGAAGAAAAGTTAGCCGAACAGCCAACTGGGCATAGCGGTGGACACATTACCGCCCAGATTAGTGACACCCAGCACGAGGGCCTGCACCCGCGGCAGTGGTGGACGTGAGTGGTGTTGCAGGAACAGTGTCGGCAGGGGACAATGATGAGGAATGGAGGTACCGATACAACCCAAGTTCGAAAAATAGCACCCCTTTTAACTTATTTTTTTATAGCAGTTACTGCGGAATTAATTTCAATCATTTTATTCCCTGCTCCTTGAAAGCAGGAAACTTGTTGGTTGCAGGGTGCCGAGAGCGGCGGCGGCCGTGCGTCTGGCCCGTTTCCCCGAACTGCATCGCCTGAATGGACCGAGCGGGGCCGCCCAGGGGCCGCCGCCTCGATGCACTGGCCGTGTGCGTTGGAGCGGCAAAATATTTGCCGCGCCAGCCTGCGAGTGAGTGGCAGCGCAGCGCTTGCATACTCGTGTTCCGCTCTCTTCCTCTCATTTCCTCGGCGAGAGAGGGAGAGAGAGAGAGAGAGAGAGAGAGAGAGAGAGAGAGAGAGAGAGAGAGAGAGAGAGAGAGAGAGAGAGAGAGAGAGAGAGAGAGAGCGTCCTCTCAGGCACACGCCACCACCATTTGCATGGAATTCCGCTCGCGAAGTGCTCCGCAGCTCCGCGCACAAAGAACACGCTGCACCCCTTTGCCGGCCACCACCACCGCGGAGGTCGCTGAGCCGAGCCGAGCCGAGCCGAGCCGAGCCGAGCCGAACCGAGCCGAGCTGAACCGAGCCGAGCCGAACCGAGTCGAGCTGAACCGAGCCGAGCGCGCTTGCCGACCAGCAAAACGTGTTCGGAATATGATGCTGGCCGCGCGGGCCGCACCACTACAAGGGCCCCAAGGCTGTCATGCCAACGCTGCGCTCGCCAAATAAATGGCTTTTATTCGGCCGACAGAGTGACGAGTTTGGAAAAAGGAGAGCGACGCGGTGACGGGCGGGCGGGACGGCCTTTGCATGTCTCCAGCCACAGGTCTGCACGGCAGGCAGGCAGGCAGGCAGGCAGGCAACCTCGTTCCGTGCGGCCATCGCGACGATCGACAAAAAGGCCCCGCGTCAGGTTCAAGGTGAAGCCGTACACGTCGTCCTGCCGGCCAGGCACGCCGCCGAGGCACAGAGGAAAGATTTTTGAAGAATCGAAAAAATATTGGTCGTCGGACTCACCTTTAACTGCATTCAGCTTGTTGCCGACCATCTGTTTCGCTACGAAGGCCGCCATCTTTGCCTGCTGCTGCTGTTCTGATTGGTCGGGTGGCCAGTGGCGGAGGAGGGGAAGAAGAAGAAGAAGAAGAGGAAGAGGGAGTCAGACGTCGACGACGCCGACGACGACGGAGGCGGTGGTGAGTTGGTGCTGGTGGTGGCAGTCGCGGCGCTGAGCTGGCGCTGGTGGAGGTGGAGGGGGTGGGCGTCGAGCGTGCTTACGCGCAGCAGGGCGTCGAGCGGGCGTCGAGCGTGGAGCGTACGCCGCCGGGCCGAGGGGCACTGGAACAGAACGGACGGCTCAGTGAGAGAGAGGCAACGCAACGCAGCCCCGCGGAGGGCCCCACCGCCCCACCCCCACCTAGCAGCCCCCCCTACCGGCCCCCCCTACCGGCCGCGCGCCGCCGCAGCCCTGCCAACCCACAACACCAAACATGCTCTACATTCTGCACCAGGTGGCAAGGTGACGTCACGTTGGTCCACCCTTCCACTTCCCCCTCCCAACGGCCGCCTCCGTGAAGGACGGCCAGAATCAATCAGGGGCAGGGCAAGCGGGGCCACGTCCTGGGACACGACGGCGACGTCCTGGGGCACGACGGCGACGTCCTGGGGCAGGACGGCGACGTCCTGTGGCACGACGGCCACGTCCTGGGGCACAACGGCCACATCCTGGGGCAGGACGGCGACGTCCTGTGGCACGACGGCCACGTCCTGGGGCACGACGGCGACGTCCTGGGACACGACGGCGACGTCCTGGGGCACGACGGCCACGTCCTGGGGCACGACTGTCACGTCTCGGGGCTCGACGACCACGTCCTGGGGCACGACTGTCACGTCTCGGGGCTCGACGGCCACGTCCTGGGGCACGACGGTCACGTCTCGGGGCTCGACGGCCACGTCCTGGGGCACGACGGTCACGTCTCGGGGCTCGACGGCCACGTCCTGGGGCACGACGGTCACGTCTCGGGGCTCGACGGCCTCGTCTGGGGGTACGACGGCCACGTAGGGATACTGCCGGGTGTAGCCGGACTGCGGATTGCCCCTGCAAAATGAATATACCCGTGCTGGCTGAAGACTCTATAGCAGCTCTTGAGAACCAACCAAACCACTAGCATTACCCACCACGATCCTGAGGAACAGCTTTTCAGTCTGAGGTCAAAACCCATGCTTGTCCAGGTCCCTTCCTGGCCATCACCCTGAGGCGGCGTTCCCAGTCCCAAAAAACCATGGGTCGCATGGGATCCCATGAGTCATATACCATGGGACCTAACTGAAATCCCATGAGAACACGGGTCAGCACCATGGGTAAGTGGCCTCCCATGGAAAATAGAGGTAATTTCCCATGGCGCGGGATGAACACCATGGGAGGGCCTCTCCATGGTGTGAACTTTCCCATGGCATCGCCATTCCCATGGGATGGAATTCCTGCCCGTGCGTTGAAGTCTCCGTCTAATTTTTACGTTTAGGTAACATCATGTCAACGGTGACTTGTAGACAAAATCTAGTTGCAAAATCGGTTGTATCGTGAAAAGTTCACCTTAGGCAGACATTAAGTAGGGTGATGACCCTCGCAGACGGGGGCACTTCAAACAATGATCTTTCTAGACACTCTGTCATGGCAAGGAAGTGCTCCCATGGGACACACACCATGGGGCATCTCCCCATGGGTTGCTCAACACCATGGGAAATGGTGCAAAAAATCAATGGGAAATCTTCCCCATGGGAAAAATCGGCCCGTGGTGTTCCATGGCGTCCCATGGCTCATGGGATGCTCCATGGGTTTTTGGGACTGGGTTCCGAGGGGACTCGGTCCCAGTTGTAAACAACAGGCTGCAACGGTCGCGTTTATTCACGTCCTCGTAGCTTTTTTTCTGTGTTCTTTTGCACCGGTGCTTTGAAGCTCATGAACAAGCGGGCGGCGTATTCGGGAACAAGGATTCGGCCTACTTCGCCATGGCCGTGAAGGGCGGCAGAGCGCGCGGCGGGACGGCAGCGGGGGAAGGGCGCCCGGGGGAGGCGACATTGGCTTGAAAGGGAGGCAAATAGGGGCGGCGAGGGGGGGGGGGGCGTCGCGGTGCTGAGGGGGACCGACCCCTTTTCTTGTCCCCCCCCCCTCCCTTTTCCCGCTCCGCCCGAATCGGTTCCCTTTCCATTAGCAGCTTGCTGAGGATGCATCGGGCAAAGCGATTCCAGGTAAATTGGAAACTGAAAGGGAATCAAGTGGCGCGGAGTGGCGGCCAGTCCCAAAGCGACCTGCAGGGCTTTCATCTCCCCGCCATCAAGCTGTGCGTGGGACAACACTCTCTGTGCGGCCACCGCGGTTGTTTTGGCTGCGGTCCGGGACTGCGGGATCATGTCGTTCCACGAACTAGAAATGAAGGACCGCAAAGTGAGCAGAGCCGCGCTGACGCACAGTGGGCCAGAATACTGGTGGAGGCGGTCAAAATTCTAGTCGCGTTTTGAGCTCCACAGTCGCTAAATGGGACTCGAACCGAACGTGTGGCCCCACCACCAATGGATTCATCGTTCGGAGAGCAATCTATTGGTAGGGCCACACGTTCGGTTCGAGTCCCATTTAGCGACTCTGGAGCTCAAAACGCGTCTAGAGTTTTGGCTGGTCTTCTGGTTCTGGCACACTGTGCACCAGCGGGTCGACTCGAAACCGGAAGTGAAAATATACTGTTCCGGAAGGGTACTCTATCGCCGGGCACGTTGACGACGGCTGCCGAGTACCTGCGGAATAATCTACGATTTCCCGCCAAAAGTTGGACACTTTCCCCCTCCCCTCGCCGCCATTCTACAACGCATAGTCGCAGCGCCGGATTCATAACGGCACCCATAACTCCCTCCAGGTAGCGAGCGAGTCCGCCGCCCCACCACGGCTTTATATGTGTTCGCGCGAAAATAGTTTCCAGCAGGGAAAACTGGCTGAGTGGGGCGGCAGTGCTTTGTTTCCCTTTTCGAACCTATGATGGAATTGACAGCGACCCCACTGTCAACAATTGCAAAAAAAAAATTAAGATATTTTTTTTTATATTTTTATTATTTTACTTTCTTAATTAACAGTCCTAACCTGCGCCAATGCGATGCATATCGCCCGACCCCGCCGCGCCAGCCTCACGCGACGATCCTCCCGAGGGAGAGAGCACAAAGGGCCGCCCTCTATTCGCACGCAGGCAATGCCGGGTGCCCCCCCCCCCCCCCCCACCCCGCCCCGACCTGCCGCAAGGCCCTCCAGCGCACCCTGGCGGCGGGTAATTAAACCACGGACGCGAGAGAGAAAAACCCTCGGGGGCGGTAAAAACAGCTGGCCAGGCCGGCCAGCACGGGGTGACACACGCCACAGTAAAAACGCTATCAGATCCGGGCCGGCCGAACCGACTTCTTTTACTTACTGGCGGAAAATTACTTTGGAGGGACACCGTCTCTCTAGACCCCGTGAGTGTCTATCGAACAGACTCCACGAGAGCCTTTTCTAACCGACTCCACAAGAGTCTCTAACAAACTCGAAGAAAGTCCCTCTAACAGACTCGAAGAAAGTCTCTCTAACAGACTCGAATAAAGTCTCTCTGACTCGAAGAGTGTCTCTCTAACAAACTCGAAGAGTGTCTCTCTAACAGACTCGAAGAGTGTCTCTCTAACCCGAGAGACTCGAAGAAAGTCTCTCTAACAGACTAGAAACAGACTAGAAGAAGGTCTTTCTAACAGACAACGAAAGTCTCTCTAAGAGACTGCGAAAGTCCCTCTAACAGCACAAAAATCTCTCGAATAATCTCCACAAAAATCTCTTGAACAATCTCCACGAAAATCTCTCTAACAGACTCCACAAGAGTCGCTCGTAGTCTGGACTAACTCCACTGGAATGTCGCTCACAGCCTCTCCGAGAATATCCCTCACAGGCCCGACGATAGTATCTCAGACGACAAACGCAAGTCTCCCTGGAAACAGGGCGGCCTAGGCGGCCCCTACAATCGGGCACGCCAGGAAGATGGATCCCATTTAGCCGGCTCGCGACACGCCGAGCCCAGCCGAGCCCAGCCGAGAAGCGCCAGGCCCACCTAATTCAACCCCCTTTTGCGTTGATGAGGCTTGGCACCGTGTAGTCAGAAATATTTCAGCGTAGGAGGCGGCGGCGGGGGCCGGGCGTGGAGCAGCAGGTTGGCAAGGACATCTGGGGAAAAGCCGGATAAGGGGCCGAGGGAGGGGCCGCCCGCTAAAGGGAAGATTGCAGACACACCTGAGGGGAGCGGCGGCCGAGGGACCGAAATAGAAGGGAGGGGAAGGAAGCAGCCAGAGACACAACGCGGAACAGCGAGGCAGCGTATTACATGAAAAAGTCATCGCGCGCTCTTTTGACGGCCAGAGGCCCGTGTGTGACCCGACGTGCCAGCCACACTGGAAGTGAGTGTGTGTGTGAGTGTGAGTGTGTGTGGTCACGCTCTAGGGGAGTGAGGCGGCACGGCGGGGTGTTAAACTTGAGGCAGGCGTACACAGCCGCTGGCCTACTTTGTGTCCAATGGAAACGGCTGGCCCCGCACAGTGGGCCAGAGGACCGGCGCAGGTGGCCAAAACTAGACGCGTTTTGAGCTCGCCAGAGTCACGGAACAGGACTCGAACTGAGCGTGTGGCCCCACCAATGGATTCCTTGTTCGGAGAGCAATCCATTGGTGGGGTCACACGCTCGGTTCGAGTCCCTTTCAGCGACTCTGGAGCTCAAAACGCGTCCGGGATTTTCACCGCCTCCTCTGGTCTTTCCACAGTGTACAGCCTGGCCTACTTTGAGTCCAATGGAAACATGTGGCTCCCTCCCGCTGCCATCGGACGGCTGGGCAGCTAACCTAAACATGCTTTCGGACTGAGATTTCACTCGGTATTTTGTTAGGGATCGTCAGAGGGTGCAGCTTAGTCCCGCTGTCGCGGCACTTAAGTTGGCCATTCCTATGCCGGCCCTCATATGCAAGGCAAAACTGGGCTGCAGCTGGGGGACAAGGACAAGTTTGGGGCCACGAGGGCCGCCCCGCCAGTTGCTGCGGGGGGCTTCTGCCTACCCCGCCCGCCCCGCCGCCATGAGCTCCATGGAAGCAGCTCTAAAAAAACAAAACACAGATAAAACGGCAGCACCCGTCGCGACCTGGCTCATTGCGGTCAAAGGTCAACAGTGATAAAAACTGAACCCCTTTTCTGCCTGGCTTTGTTTAGTGCGGCGCCATTGTGACATGTATGGCATCGCAGTGGATCTCCAGCCCGGCAGGTGAGCCGGCCGAGTGGCCATCCCGGTTGTT